GACAACGCGAAAGCCCACGCGTGAGTTGGAATTCAGTGACCCACTCGAAGGTATAACCTACTTGAAAACACTCTAATCGTTTGCTAATTTCGTACGGGACTTCCAACATAAGGCACCACGCTAGGTTTGGCTCATTTCCATCAAACCAGTCACAATCGCTCCTACCTAGATCAAACCGATGTGCCCAGCTGCACAAAATTGCTGTGCTCCTGCTAAGCGCTTTGGTATGCTGACGCGTGTAGAGGTAATTCAGGATAGCAAAGCATCAGTGTGCTGTTCTTTATCAACTGGTAGCCACACTTGGCCTGCTAAACAACAATGATTTCTTTCTTTGACAATTCTTAGAGCCATCTCGGTTGTATTTATCGTGCCTACTAGTGAGTACCAAACATCACGTTGCATGTAAAAGGCTTCATGCAATGTCATTGGCTGAATTGATAATTTCTGGTAATAACTAACGTGGTACATTAATAGGTCCCGTAGGTGGATGAAGCAAAAGAATTACTAAAATTATTACGCAAAAGCATAAATGGATATGTAATCCAGTTGATGAGATTTTTTCATGTTGGAATTAGTTTGAAATTGATTGACTTGTGGGAAGACACACCTATCTGATGGAGGCTTAGTTACTTGTAGCTACCTGGATTTACTAATCACATACGACAACTTTTTAACCTGTTTCTTGATTGCATTTTTAGTAAATCTGTGTGCTTAGCTTTAAATTCAATTGTGCTTATTCTCGAATTCTATCTGCACCAACCACCACGTGAAATTGATCCCATTTGGATTGAGTGGTGTTGTTTATTTCTCATTTTCTTATTTTACCGTCAGCTAAATCAGCAAATTGTGTTCGTCGCGAGGACAAGGCAACCAAGGGTGAATTTCTGATTCATTATCTCTTAACCGCGCACAGCCTCAAACGCGCACCCTTCCTCTCACGGGCCCACATCTATTCAACGCAAATGTAGGTGACGAATGGTCTATTATTTCAAAAAATTTCAGCAGTATTCATTGATGAAAGACGCGAGGAGATTCAGAATGCTCTCTGAGTTGTTGTACCTATCATTGATTGGATAGTACACAACCTCGCTTTGGGGCCTGCTATTGCGGATTTGAAAGCGACCATCCATGATTTCTACGACGTCAAATTGTACGACGAAGTTGGACATGTGAATTGGCTCCAGAGGCCAGACTTCGCCGTGTGTCTCGTTCACCTGCAAAGTGATTATATTAATAGAAAAGCAAAATTTGCAGGTTGTGTGTGCGGCGTGGTAGTGTGAAATCATCTCGTTTATTTGAGGTTGCCACTTACTATGGAGCGCTGATTGATTCCAAGTGGACAATTAATTCAATCATACATGCAACCGTGGTACCACAAAAGCGCTCATTTAACTAATGCTATACGCACAGTTCACGCTTAAATATACATACCGCAGTGCATTCAGAAAGACCAAGTGCAATGCTGCTGGTGCGCAACTCGCACGAATAATAGGGAGAGCTTGGTGTGGCGGAGAGAATCCTGCCTTGCCAATTCACACTGTTTTTCCCAATGACATGGAATGACTTGAGTGTGGGTAGACAAACACGACCAGACAAACACCTCTGGATTGAGCTTGTCACACCCTGAATCACTCGTGAGGCGGTGGTGATTGTGGTCTCGTCAGCCGAATTCCCCGTGTCTGAAAATGGAATTATATTGACAGAGGTGAATTGTCAACTTGTATTGCACAAATTCCACTTATCGACATTAGTACGCACTTGTGTTGATAGCGGCTCTGCTAAAATCGCAGACTGCCAGACACAAGAGAAGATACGAGGGATACACCATGTTGGCGAGGAGTCTTCCTAAATTATGACAGACCCTGTGAGTGTATATACTTGCTCAAGCTGTGCCAATCTGAGGTCTGGTAAACCAACTGAAGCAACATGTGACTAGCCTGTCAAAATTTCAGACCTGGCACTTGTTGCAGTGAGCCTTGAGATCAGCATTGCGCCACTTTCTGTAAACGTTTGATTGTTCTTGCCGAGCAGCTTGATCAATTTTCAGCAACAATAACACTGCCTTCTTAACAGGTAAAGCTTCACTCAGCAACATTCTGCAGTTAGCGCAGTGAAGTCTTCACTTGGTATCATTGTAGGTACTTGGATGGATAACTGT